CGGGTTCTATCTGTTACTGGAGGTAGGGCGTTCGGAACTGACGATAACGATAGTGCTCGTTTACAATTTCGCAAGGCGCAGTTACAGGCAAAACGAAATGCAGAGGTTGCTAGGCGGAAAGAAAGGCAATTGTTGTTTGCAGGAGTTGGAGGAGGGGAGGGTGGGGAAGGCGTGCGGCGAAAGGGCCGTCCCGGCTTTACACATGACGATCTGGTAGCCAGTGCTTCGGAGGATGTTACATCTGCGCTGAGGCGGACTCATCAACTCATGCAAGCTGAGCTGTCCCGAAGCCAGTTTGCGCAGGAAACTTTAGGTTTGTATTTCCCCGTTGCTTGAAATGGAAGGGAGTAAAATATAGCGTTTTATTGACGTGTGGTCCTTGTCTACGTTAGAGCAATCTACCGCGGCACTTCGTTCGCTATCTGAATCATACAGTAGCCTCGACAGTCTTCTCGCCTCATCGCGTTCACTCGTATCTTCACTTCTTCGTTCGCAGAAGTCGGATACATGGTATCTGGAAACGTCATTTTATATACTCGTTGGAACTATCATCTGGCTTGTATTCCGGCGCATACTATACGGTCCGCTCTGGTGGATTCTCTGGATACCTCTGAAACTGACGTTCCGAACAGCCTTCGTGGTCCTGGGTGGTATTGGATTGGCAAATACATCTACATCTTCATACTCCTCAGGCGGCAGCGTTGGGGAAGGCTCCACAATGATATCGCTGCGTACTCCAGGGGCAACTATTGCAGTGGCATCATCACCTATGGTCCATACAGTTACCCTAAATGGTGCCGTGACATCAGCTGCGGATAGCCAGAAGACGAAAACTCCGCAGGCAGACAATGAAGATGTATTAGAGAAAATAGAAAAGATAGTTGGGAAGGAAAGTGATCATGTTGAAAGGGGGACTAATGTGGATGATATATCCCCTGAAGAGAGGCGGAGGCAGGAAGCAATGCCCCGGAATCCAAAGAAGAGGATGCATGAGGAGAAGTTCCCGGAAGATCGGAAGAAGGATGAGTTGTGAGGTAGGGATTTTGGCTATGTTTCCGTCTTCAAGAAGCTACATAGATACATAATAGTTGGAATTATGATGTGATGAGATCTATATGTTTACAAACATACACCTGTACAATGTGTCATTTCTGGTATGTGTGGGAAATGAACAGCCTTTGTTTATACCAAAGCCACCAACTTAATACGTCAGAATATTTCCATCTGATTTGAAAATACATAGATATCTTCACAGCGATGTTGGGCAGAGAATTAGGATAAAATCCTCTGAAATGAAATCGTGTCAGCACGTGATCCACGCGTCTGCCCGCGTTAACTAAGTCCGCAGCTTCAATCAGCAAATTAATTATTGCCGATTCCTGATATCGATACACCGCGTAAACAAACACTTATTTCCCGAAACTCCTTCCAATTAATTCCCCGATTTTGCTTTCAGATCTATCATTGCGACTTTAGTCCAGCTTTGAGTGATCAATCCCATGTCGTCAAATTTCTTCAGCAACAAAGCTCGGGCAGCAGCTGTGGGGATAGGCAATTCCAAACCAAAAGCTTCAGAGAAAGAGGCGGATAATACAAGATTGCAGCCATGGGTTGAGAAATAGTATGGCAATAACATTTATCACAGATTTCATGTCATGAAGTGGCATTGCTAATCCAGGTATTCCTAGCCGGCCGAAAACACTCGACGATGTAGCTTCACAGGAACATACAATCACCGTCCTTCAACGCACATTACAAGCTTCAAATGTACCTACCTACCAATTTACTTTACCAACTTATATCCATAACATTCCACTAGAATCACATTTACACTAATACCATCACAAATAAAGCTACCACATATGCTCTTCTATGGACCCCCCGGCACCGGAAAAACCTCCACAATCCTCGCCCTCTCCAAATCCCTCTTTGGCCCACAACTCTACCGCTCCCGTATCCTAGAGCTCAACGCCTCCGATGAACGCGGCATTAGCATCGTCCGTGAGAAAATAAAGGACTTCGCACGAATGCAACTCTCCCATCCGCCCGTCTCAGACACCGCCTATTGCGAAAAATACCCCTGCCCGCCCTTCAAGATCATCATTCTCGACGAGGCAGATAGCATGACGCAGGATGCGCAGTCGGCCCTGAGACGTACGATGGAACGATACAGTCGCATCACGCGCTTCTGTCTCGTGTGTAATTATGTGACAAGGATCATTGATCCGTTGGCCAGCCGGTGTAGTAAATTCCGCTTCAAGGCGCTGGATGGGTCGGCTGCGGGGAGCAGGTTGGAGGAGATTGCAAGGGTGGAGAAACTTAGGCTTGCTGATGGGTGTATTGAGACATTGATAAGGTGTAGTGAAGGGGATTTGCGGCGGGCTATTACTTTCATGCAGAGTGCGGCCAGGCTGGTGGGGTCTGGACTTGTATCGAAACCACCTCCGGGTAAGGATGAAGGGGGGGATGAGGATATGACTGACGCTGGCGACGAAGGTGTGATTACTGTGAGGACTATTGAGGAAATTGCGGGAGTTGTGCCGGACGATATTGTCAATCGATTAGTTAAGGCGTTGCAGCCGAAGAAAGGCCGTTTGCCGTATGAAGAGGTTTCGAAGGTGGTTACTGATATTGTGGCAGATGGATGGAGTGCTTCGCAGATGCTAACACAGGTATGTCACGCGTCCCTTCGTCATACTCATCTTTTGATATGACTCCTGTGAATTAACGCGATGAGAACAGCTGTATCAAATTATCGTGTTTGACGATTCTATAGAGGACATCCACAAGAACAGCATTGTTATGGTATTCTCTGAGTTTGATAAACGGTTGATTGATGGCGCGGACGAGCATCTTACTATTTTAGATCTCGCATTGAGGATATCGGCAATATTAGCACGGCCTACATGACCTAAACACTAGGCAGCCAGGTGTGATTTTTTTTTTTTTTTTCTTGATTTAAAATCATCCTCATAATGACATACAATTTGTGATTCATGACAATTGTCAAGTTGTAGAATGGCGTCTTTTTATTTCATTATTCTCTCCTTTAGAAGTGCCGTTCAGGGGCTATTTTATGTGGTTCTCCTTTTGTTGGCGGTCGGCGTTTGACTTCCCGCTTTGCCGAACCGTAATCAAATCTCGAGGGACTCGGGTTGCCGCTGTCGGCAGTTAAATCTTCAAATGACGCAGCTTCGACATATTTTCTAACATTTGTGTCTTGAAAATTTCATTACATTTAAACAGAAGGAAAGCAAGGGGGAAAAAAAGAAAAGAAAAGAAATAGCTTTTACTTGTTTCCATTTTGCTCACATTTAGCTAATGGCAGATGATCCTAAGTACCTTACGGGTGATAAACCCGCTATCGAAGAGTTTCTTGACAGGTTTGATGTGAGTAAATGCGCCCACGTTGTTGTCGTTGTGCAATTCTCTCCTTTCCCTTGCCTCAAATAAGTAACGGGTATTTGCAATAACGGCTTAATTGCTTATATGCTGATAATGGTTTGCGTTTTCTAGGTTTTTTTGTTTGACTGCGATGGTCAGTGAATGATGCCCTCCCCCGCTGTCGCATCCAGAACTGAACGGAGCTGGAAACCAGAGCATATGCTGAGAAAATAGGGTTGATATCTAGGTGTCTTATGGTCAGGAGATGTTATATATGAAGGGACGGTTGAGACGTTGGAGATGCTAAGGAGCAAAGGTGCGCAATATGTATCTCCGCCATATGGGAATTTTGAACCAGACAACCACTAATGCTTGCGGAAAATAATAGGGAAACAAATCATCTTCGTTACCAACAATAGCACAAAATCCCGTGCAGACTATAAAAAGAAACTGGACAGACTAGGAATTCCTGCGCACATCGTATGGCTCACACCACCTTTTCCCCATCTTGCAAACTGCGCAGTTTCTAACAGCCAAGCAGGAAGAAATATTTTGCTCCTCCTACAGCGCCTCAATCTACATCTCCCGCGTCCTCTCCCTCCCGCCCGAAAAGCAAAAAGTCTTCGTCCTAGGAGAAACAGGTATTGAGCAAGAACTCAAGGTCGAAAACGTCCCTTTCATCTGCGGCACAGACCCTTCCTATAGACGCGACATCACGTTGCAGGATTTTAACAAAATCGCATCTGGTGACCCCTCAATATTCGATCCAGAAGTTGGAGTGGTTCTTGTCGGCCTCGATTTCCACATCAACTATCTGAAACTGGCGCTTGCATACCACTATATCAAGCGCGGGGCTGTATTTCTTGCTACGAATATTGATAGTACGCTTCCTAACGCCGGCACGCTGTTTCCCGGTGCGGGCACTATAAGCGCGCCGTTGATAAGGATGTTGGGTGGTAAGGCGCCGGTTTCATTGGGGAAGCCTAGTCAGGCTATGATGGATGCGATTGAGGGGAAGTTTAAGCTTAAAAGACAGAAGGCGTGTATGGTTGGGGATCGATTGGATACGGATATTAGGTTTGGTATTGAAGGGGGCCTGGGGGGGACGTTGGCAGTTTTGACTGGGGTCAATAATAAGGAGGATTTCACGACGGGGTCGTTGAGGCCGGCGGCCTATGTTGATGGGTTGAAGGATTTGCTTGAGGCGGCGTAGGGATGGGTTTGGTTTGTTGAGGGAGGTTGGTTTTTGTTGAAGATATTGTGGCAAGACTTGTGCTTTTATATTTCCCATTTTGTTCGTTGGATATGGTATTGATGGGATGTGGGATATGTTCGAGAGGGATTTGAGCATTATTACTTTTATTATTCTCTCTATAGAATAGTGGTATATAGACCATAACCACTGTTTTGGGCTCTTGGGTTGCGTTCTCTAGATAATTTATATTTTTTGAAACCTGCCATTTCCATACTCTATTTAACCTAAATAATGTTACATGTTCCCATTTTGTTATAGGTTCTAATAATACAATGAGACAAGTCACCAAGGTATACATACATAAACAATTTTTGGAGAAAAAAAAAAAATGATAGGGGGGTCCGAGTATCAACCATCGTCCTCAAAGTTTATCTTTCCTCAGCATATAAAGCTTGAGTCTCCAGAGCCACGAGATCATGGAAACAGGCGCTCTACTGCCTGGTCTATAGAAGACAGCAGGATTACGGAATACCTCTGCATGTTGGCAAAGCGCATCGAGTTGCTCTTCTGTCAGGAGCATCGTCAGATCAAACACTGGCACCATCGAACCAGTGCTTGGAAGAGTAATGTATTTAGGGAGAGAGTCCGACACGCTAGCTGATTCCGAGTCAGACTCCGGAATAATAGAGGAGTTTGCCAATGTTGACTTGTTTCTCGGATCTGCTGCTAAACTAGTAGAAGGAGAGATGTCGTCCCCTCCTCTAGCTTGCTCTTCTCCCTGAGTACCGGTGTTCTTGCCCTGTTCTCTGGTGCTTCTCGATATAAACACCGCACCCCAAGCCGCATGCTCCAAGCCCCCCAATTTCCGCAGACTCTCCTGCAAGGAATCCTTCCCAATTGCCTCCGTCCCCACATCCAATACAGTCAAATCGCCCGATATCTCACCTGCCAACTGCAACGCCTTTGTCTTCTTCAACCACCGAAGCACCACCTCCCTCGTACGATCCAAAACAAACACCGGCAAATCCTTTCTAAAAACGTATTTCGCATTCCGCGACAGAGTTCCCCTGGGCACTTTCCAATTACTCGGGACTAGTCGTGGCAACCGTTCCCCTTTCAACTTCACAACAGCATCAATCAGCTCCACAGTGTTGGTCATGTGGAAGCTAGGAACATTATGATGGGGCACAGAGTCCCCTTCAGCACCTTCATCGCGCTCTGCTGGAGGTGCTGGTATTCTTTTCGCACTTGCTTGCTTAAATTCCGTTCGAAACAAGTCCACGGGCGTCAGCCAAAACGCACATGTTTCCGGGTGTTGCACTAGTCCCCAATCTCCCATCAATTTTTCTGGAATTCGGGCACCAGTTGCGACACACATGCGCACAGGGCTTGCTAGAATCTGGGCCCACGGGTTGTATTTTAGGCGGTCGATATCTAATTTGGTGGCGCGGGATTTCGATTTGGTTCCTCTCTGTGCTAGCCTTGTGACGATGGGGGATTTGGGGAGGGACTGTGAAGGTCGCGCACGTAGAGGTGGTATATCCTTCAACCGTGTAGGTTGTCCCGGGGCGCTTTCTTGTTCATTATGAGCAGTAGCTTCCGATGATTCTACGGTTTGTGGTTTATTCTTTAATTCTTCGACGAACCCCGAGATTTGAGTATGTAGCCTGTCGAGCATGTCGAGCTCTTGTATTCTTTCTCGTTTTGGATTCCCGCGCCGTTTCTTTTGATTGGGATTTGGCTTTGGGAATTGGAAGCTGGAGCTGGTTGTGAAGCTCCGTGAGCTGAATGGTGCAAAAGGACCAGCGGCAGCTTCAAGGGCTTGGCGACGGAAGGTTTTCAAACGCCATGATACGTAGGAAACGTGGCAGTATGGGCATATTGAACTCATTGCTTGCGCTGCCCACGCTGTAAAGAGGAACTGGGTACCTAGTCAAGGTAACGAGTCCATTGCTGTATTTTTAATTATTGTTGTTGGTTGTTAAGGGACTAAAATTTTGAAGGCTTGGCATCGACCTTAAATAAAGCTAACGGTTACTCATTCAACTTCTAATTCACCTCTGAACACCACTGCGTTTCCCATGTAACATTACGTCCGTTAATTCTTGATCAATTGAATATCAAAACGTTCAATGAATTCCCTCAGATGGCTCAGGCCGGCAGCCCGGCGAATCTCCGTCGCAACGACCAGAAACAACTCAAGTAGACCAAATCTAACTCCGCCACGGGGGTGGACACCAACGCCATTCGTGACTGAGACTGTGGTAAGTTTCCAGATCTTCCAGCGCTGAATATAACTCAAGAAGCTAACTAACTGATCAGGGAGGTGGCTGGCATACATGTACTTACTGAGAGTATCTGACGGATTTTGTTTCCCTACCAAGCAATCGAAGCTGACAATATATCACAAAAGATGACATCTTCTCCCGGCTACTGAAGGCATGTTTTGACTACTTCGGCACACCTAATTGTTTGAGACGGGGCGTTGTGATGATAACGGTATTTATAGGAGCGCATAGTCTGCCTAAATGGAGAAGTCGACGAAACCCTTTCCGCATCCATCGTTGCCCAACTCCTCTTCCTCGAAGCAGATAACCCGGAGAAGCCAATCCACCTCTACATAAACTCACCCGGAGGATCAGTAACAGCCGGTGCGCAAGCAGTCCAACATATCTAACTTCATTCATCCCATTTCCCGCTTTTTCCTAACCATAAAATCTCCCTCTCCAACAGGTCTTGCCGTCTACGACACAATGACATACATCTCCGCCCCAGTCAGCACCATCTGCGTCGGCCAAGCGGCCTCCATGGGCTCCCTCCTCCTCTGCGGTGGCCACCCCGGAAAGCGATTCTGCCTCCCCCACTCCTCCGTAATGGTCCATCAGCCCTCCGGCGGCTATTTTGGACAAGCGACAGACATTGCTATCCACGCCAAAGAGATCCTCCGACTTCGTCGTCAGCTTAACGAGATTTTTAAGAGACATTTGAAGAAGGAGATGTCGCTGGATGAGATTGAGAAGTGGATGGAGAGGGATTATTTTATGGGGGCGAAGGAGGCGTTGGAGATGGGGATTGTGGATGAGATTTTGGATCGAAGGATAAAGCCAAAGGTGGAGGATGGGGGAAGGGATGGTGGGAATGTGGTAACGCCATAGGTTAGGGTTTGTTTGTTTGATACGTGTGAGAAGTATTGCATTTGTATTTGGTTTTTGTGGTATTTGATAAATGGAATTGTTTTCCATGGTAAGTGAATGCTCTTTTTGGCATTCAGATACCTAACCATGTTCTTAAATACTAGAATCTTCTCTGCTTATTCTCTCTCCATTTTTGTTTCTATTCCTTCCAGAAGGCCTCGAGATGTGAAGAGTTGACTGCATACGGTATGGACATAAAGTATAAATGGCATTGTTTATACAAACGTGGTATATAATTATGAATAATGAATGGAACAACAAAAATGTATGTATCGTTAAGGAGACAAAACAAGGTGTGTTCAACCGGACCCCAACGCCGTAAAATGTGTAAAGCTTTTGAAATCGTGTACATGAAAACGCGGATCGGGCCGTCACGACTGAATAGATGTTGCTTATGTATGTGTGCCCCTCATGAAATCGTGCGTAGCTGGAATCCAAATCGCCGGTGGAGAAAAGGCATCATCATACCAGTTTGATTCGATGATGGTTGGGAACTACTTGACTGGCCTCCATTTGTTGTTGGGGGGGAATTGTACCACTGATTCCGAAGGTTCTGCAGAACATCAATATCTGCAATTGGTATCTGAGCTGATAGAAAAGGGTCGCGGGGATGTCTATCTCTGGCCGACCCTGGAGTTCCCCGTCCAGCTTCGAATTCAAGGAGTCGAACACTACTTCTGTCCACAGGTTGATTTGGAGAGGATAATTCTCGCATTTCAATACTCTCTGTTGTCGTCTCATCACTCATTCCTGGTAAGTGCTCGTCCTCTCGCAGCATCCCCCGTTCTTCAGAATCATGGTCCTGCAAATTAGGCGTGGAATTTGCAATCTCAGGCGTTTTCGAGAGAAGTTTCGTTCTTTCCTTTTCTAGAATGACACACAACATAATAATTTGCATTGCAAGGATCAGAAGGTCGAGAAGGAATAGGCGGAACTTCGATATGGGACCTTTTTGCCCGATGAAGTCGATGAAAAGTCCCCCGTGGAAATAGCCTCGGGAAGTCTCATGGGCCATAGGACTGGATGATATATAATGAAACAAAATGCAAAATATGTTGCTTGCAAACACAGCTACGATGGAAGGCTCATTTGTTGATGATTCGGGCAATTGCCCGGCTTTAGGCGTGAAGAAAATGAACTGGATTACGGCGCGGATGGCGAAATAGAGGATTGAGCAACTAATTGCATATCAAAAGCGCATTAGTAACAGTATTAGTCGCAGATTACTGCGGATGAAAATAAAGCTTCGTACTCCATATAATACACGGCAGACAGCTCGCAGTAAATCAACATATCCAGGTCGCGCAGCAACCTTTCAAGCAGGACGATCTTCGAATTCGCATAGACAGCCCTCCGGTAAGACCTCCCCGACACTAGGGGACGATCTCTGTCTCCATCGTCGTCGTCATCATCGTCATCATCATCATCATCATCACGAGCATCGTAGGGGATGTTTGAAACGTCAGCGATGTACAGCGCATCTCGAAAGACATCGGGAGTGGTCATAGAGGGGACATGGGGACTCCAAGGAAGTGAGGAACTATGTCAACTACTAAAATCGTATTGCTTTTGAGGGCTAACTATTTGAGAAAAAGCCTCTGAGTGGCTTGAAAATAGAAACAAGAGAAGAAACGTTCCCAGATTAAAGGAGTTCACAGTTGGAACGTTTCTCTATTGGCATAGAGTGGGTCCGGTAGTTTTTTTTGTATGTAGTTAAGCCTCCTGCTGCTGCGTTCGTTTCTCTTGTCATTCGCCGCTGTCCAGAACGTCTCGGATCTTCTTTCCTCCGAACTCTATTCCAATGTTTATTCAGTAATAATATTTGATCTCTAATTCCCAACTTCTTCTAAGTAACAATCCCAACTGGATATCTCCCTCAACCTCTTTTCGCCATCTTTCCCGTTCGATTCCAGGATGAGTGTTGAATGAGCTTTTGCTTTTAGCTCTCGCCACCTCGATACTCCGCCTCCGTGAAGCCAACTCTTTTTGGGCCGGGTCTCGTTTCGGACTCCCACTGTCTTTTCATTGACCCTTGATCTTATGAACAATCATTACCTCTTTCTCCTCTTGAAGTTCTGGAATGGAATCCTGGCGGTAAATTTTGCGAACCGTTCAATACCTACTATGAGAATTAGTCGATCTCTTCTCATGTAGTCGGATCATTAGGTTAAACTGGACTTGCCTTTGTCGTGGGGTTAGGTTCTTGGAGCAATACAACAGAAGGCCGCCAGCAGTCTCTGTAGCACTTCCAGTTCTTTTCAAGGTTATGTATTCGTGGGTCCATTTGGCCTTCTCTTCGACGCTGTCATCCTGTTGAAATCCTGAGGGGATGAATTTTGAATAGCGAACCAACAGCTCTAACTTCCCAAATTTTCCTTACCCGTCTGATAAACCATTGGATGCATCCTGTAACGCACATTCGATTTGCTGGGAAGTTGTACTGATTTCCATCGCTGTCGAGGTCGGGATCATTGTCGGTTTGAGACCATAGAGTTCTGCTCCCCTTGCAGTCACACGGGGTGATGACATCAGTCTTGCCCTCCAATCTACCTCACAAAAGCTATCAAAAAAATGGTTCTGAACATAGACGATGTCGACCATCACCCCACAAAGGATTATCAACTGGCGCAGTCAGCTTTTTTAAAATCTCGTTGCATTCCGGAGCCTAAGAGAGCTTACTTTCACTGGGTTGTTATTCTTTTCTGTGGCCTTTTTGACTTGTTCATATACCACTTTGAGGGCTCGGAGGACAACCTTGTCGAATATTTGTGCAATCTCCTCCCTTCGGAGAATGCGTGTAGTGATTTTTAATCTATAAACTGAAACACATTGTAAGTAACATACATATCTTGTGACAGCCACCTCTCCTAATCCACACTCATAACCATCAAAATGTTCACCAGATCTGGTCTCTAGAGCTTTGCAATAGATTTCGTTTCTAGTTTTTCACGTACGATGACACAATTTCGTAGACGTACATATTTCTTAGTTGTGAGGGCCTGTTGACTCCCTCATGACTAGTTTTATTGGGTTAGGGAACGTCCCCGACATTTCTTCAGAAAGTGGGGAAAAAATACGACAAATTGCTCATCTTGTCCAACATATTACTTAACCCGGAAGGCTGATGGTCGACCGTTTCGATATAAATCGAAGCGAGAAAGAATGGGAATTGTGGGGTAAATGCTTTTATTTGGCACAAGAAAAAACATAAATGATTCCTGGTGATGGATGTTGGTTGGCGTACATTTTAGGGAGAAATTATTTCATCCTGAAAACTGTGGTGTGCGCATGACACCAAAAATATATATTCTCTTATAGATCCTCGGCCTTTCCTACACCACCCCCTGCCCCCCACCATTTTAAACCCTTAAAACAAACTCCCCCTTTCACCCTTTCCCATAGAAAACCCCATCCAAACCATCAAAAATCAACCAACCAAAATCTTCCCCGCCAACTCCGTATAATGCTCAAAAAAGCTCTCAAACAACCGAATCGCATATCCCACATCATTCGACCCCCCCATCTCCCGAATACTATGCATACTCAACTGCGGATTCCCCAAATCCACTGTCCTCACCCCAAGCGACGCAGAGAGCATAGGTCCAATGGTGCTGCCGGAACTCGAGTCATTGCGGACGACGAATAGTTGCAACGGGACGCCTTTGAACGATGTTTCAGGCGATGGTGATGTTGCTGAGGTGGACCCCGCCTGGTCGTCGTGGTGGTTATTGCCGGCCAGTCGTGCGGATTCCTGCAGAATGACGATGCCGGGTGAGTTTGTGGCGTAGAAAGCGTTGGCGTTGATTTTGATGACGGGACCCTTGTTCATTTCCGGCTTGTGGTCCGATTCATATTTTACGGCGTAGTTGGGGTGTACGGAGTGTGCCATGTCCGCGGAGACCAGGAAGGATGTTGAGAGAGATTGCTCGTAGGCGGTCGAGAGGTCTGGTGGTGGTGCCTTTGCGGATGCTGATGTTTCTGCGGGGAGAACGGATAGGCGACGCAGGGTTGCGCCGAGGATGTTGGAGAATGCGCCCTGCGCGGTACGGCTGCCTATTTCCTCGTCGTCGAAGAGGGCGACGAGGCGGATGGAAGATTCTTTGTCCAGTGCGCCTGGGTGTGCGAGGGAGTTTATGAGGCCCATTATGGCGCAGAAGGACATGTTGAGGTTATCGAGGCGGGCGGAGAAGATGAATTCGTCTAGCAGGCCGCCTAGGCAGGCTTTTTGGGTGTCGTAGAGGAGAAGCTCGAAGTCAACTATCTCATGAGGTGTGGTAGAGAGTTCAGAGGCGATTAGCTCGATGAGGAAGGGGTGGTGACGTTCCGTGGTTGGTTTGATGGGGTAGAATGTGGCGTTGGAGGCCGCGTCGTTTACGTCGTTTCCGCTGTTGCCGTTGTTGTTTTTCTCTTTGGATCGAATTTCTAGGTACTCTTTGGCCTTTGGATCTTTGTCTTTCCTGGCCAATTCTGCAGCGACTAAGCCGGCAATGGGAAATAATTGGGTCTCCTTGTTGAAGGAGAATGTCTCTTGCCGTTCAAGATGAATTGCAAGTGTTGGTATGCGTAGAACTGAGCAATATAGTGTTAACTTCACGTGTATGGGGTGGCATGGCCGAGGATGGAGAGCATACATACTTGGTCGATGAATGTGGATCAATTTTGCCTCAATAGATTCGTCCGCATTTCTCACCATGACTCTGCCAGCGATGCCCAAGTCGCGATCAAACCCTATTGTGCAAATTTAACGACTCAAGCACCATCTTAGATTAGCTTATGGAGAGGGGGTATTTACATGTATGCCAGAGACCGCCACCATACGTTTCCACACCAACTTGGATGAAGCCACTGCCACTCTTTTTCGAGACTGGCTTAATTCTCAGGCATGGAGAGTCGGTATGGGCGCCAATCATGGAAATGGAGTTTCCGGGCTGGACACCGGGATGAAAATTTATCCGTTAGTATGGATCATTGAAGGAAATCATCATGTCAAGGCATGACTTGTGTTTATATGACAATGGAGACAAATAAATCATCAGCTTGGGGCGGATGAACACCAACTTTCCATTTTTGGCCAATTGCAAAAGCAATGATGGTGGAACCGTTGCGGGTCACATAGTACTTTCCACCAGGCTTGCAGGTGGATGACCAGGAATCTCTCTCCTAATAGAAGTGATTTGTTTAGCATAACATTACTACATTTCAATGATGGATGCATTTGCCGAGGGTGGGTGAGCGGGTGGGTTTATGTGTGTGTCAGTACTGACCTTCACCTCCTTGAATCCAGCGTCTACCAGACGCTTGGATGCCGAAGCAACGGCATGGAAGGCTATCCACGGATACACGCTAGTCAGCAATGCATTCAATCTGACAGGAAATAAGATATAAATACGTAGAGGGGGAAAGGAGAAAGAGAGGGGGGGGGAGGGTTAATTTACGGGTCGGAGATGCATTAACGAAGGACAAAAAGTCATTTGCCTGAGCCTTAAAGTTGGAAGTTGATAACGGGGGGAAAGATGATAGTTTACGTGAATGTGTCATGGTATGCCAGGACTGCAGAGGATGTTGATGTTCAGGGGGAGACTGGTTTGGTAGTGAGAAGAAGATGTTTCGTGTGGGGTTGCTGTGGGTGGTTGAATAATGGGCAGCAATGGATTCACGAGCAAGGGAAGATATGGAGAAACGGGCTGTGCAAAGTGATTCCCCCGTGAGCTTTGAGAGCATTCGCAGTTTCTCCGCAATTTAGTGAATAGAAGAATTCAAGTTAGTCCTTTGGTGCTTCTATCGGTTTGTTGGTCGGCCTTTATTCTGGTGGATGGAGTAAATAATTGAATATGACTGGAATCTGAAGTGGGATGTTGAGGTGTAAGTTGTGATAAGATGACGAGTCAACATTGACAGACAGATTTATTATTGGTTAACTAACGTAATTCACACTAAGCAGGTCACACTTATGAGTAAGTCTCAAACTTCTCAAATTCACTTGCTTTGATATGTGAGAATGCCTTCAATATGTAATGAAAAATAGGGAAACTTTATGTAAGTAAAAATTAAAATTAAACTTGCAATTTTTATTAATAAAATATTGTTTTCTCAATTTATAAAGCTATATATAATGTTATAATTTATTTTTATTTATTAATAATTCTTTATAAATAGATAATTTACTAGTTAATATATATGTAAGTTCTTACAAATTAAATTAAAGAGTAGTGAATAAATTTTAAATTTAAATATATAAAAACTATGATTTAAGTTAATATTTATTTAAAAATTTAATTAATTATATTTTTTAATATATTTCTAATATTAATATTATATAAATTATATTTATTATAATTATAAATAAATTAAATATAAAAATAAATTAAAATATATAATAATTTTATTTTAAAATAATATAATATTTAAATATAATATAATAAATTAAAAAATTATTATATTTTAATTATATATAATTTTAAATTTTAAAATTTTAAAAATATTAATTTAATAATTTATTATTAATTAACTTTTAATATTTATTTAATTATAAATTATATAATAAGTTAAATTTAATTATTTTTTATTATAAATTTAAATAAATTAATTTTTATTAAAGTTAAATATATTTTTAATTTAAATTTTATATTTAATAGTAGAATTTAAATTTAATATATTAAATTACTTTATTATAATGTTAATATTATCATATTTAACTTTTTATAATTGTAGCATTAAGAAAATTTGATTTGAAGTTTAAACTTAGCTTTCATAACTTAGTTCTTGTTGATATGTTTGCAAGAAAATACAGTGAATCATGTAGCAAGAATATGAATGATCATATTCTCAACAAATGCCAGTTCAAGAGATAATTCTTCATTGATTTTAAAATTCACTGGATTATCATTCCCTCTTTTGTGAGTCTGCATGTAGATTTGTACATTGATTTAATCTGTAAGAGTAAAGTGAAAATACATTATAAAAACATGTTGCTTCATGAATAGATATTATTTCTTTCTTTTAAACAGTGAAGTAGTGAGTTCAATTCTTCTATCTCTATAAGGGTTCTTAACTTTTTTATTGTGTAATGATGGCATTTTCACACATTAAGAGATTTGTTAATTAACTATGTGTTCAGATTCTGTGTTGTGTTCATTTGGCTGTGATGTTTAGTTACATTTAGTTAGCTAAACTACATCAGCATTTCCATTGTTGATTTGAGTCCCGGGCTGGACTCGCGGGCAGAGCCGAACGCGGGGAAAATCTCCCGTCATCTGGCATCCAATCATCCGCCACAAAACTTCGCATCGCTATAACAGTTTGTTATTAATGTCCAATGAAGGTTAGGTCGAACTTCCTGCATAGAATAACAGATTGGATGATGCAGGGGAGTTGCAAAGGAGGAGACGAGCCCCCGCCCTCTCGTCCTCGAACAGTCGACAGTTCCTGAGAACCAGTCAGAAACGAATTTTGTCAGGGGCTGTATTTTTGGTTGTTGCTCGAAAATTAGAGTGGCGACTTTTTCGCGATGTTTTGATCTTGGGCAAAGAAAAGGGGACGCGCCAGTGAAACTTGCGCCCGTGCGCTGCGGATCCATGCAACAAATATTTATGAGGCCAGAAAGATTCAAATCGAATCGTCGATTTACACCCAGGGTCTCAAACTCTCAGCCTTCAGGCATATTGTTTTGCGTAGGTTTTAAATGATACCGTATGTTTTGTGGATAAGTACAGCGCCAGGGGATGGTTTCACTTTGCCAGCCTTTTTTTAAAACTTCCAGGTGAATGATTGATCACTTTCGGAGTTGAAAGCGCATCACAAGGGGGTGGGGTGGGCAAGTTCCCTCTATTAAGGCTGCATGCTTTTTTGTTCGATCAGGTCTCCCTATATCCTCTGTAGCATGATATATGCAGCCGTCAGAAGAGACATGAAACATTCCTCCTGTTCGGGTTATCTGGAATGCTGATTTTGTTGGTTTGTTTGAGACCTGTTTCCCCTTCGGCTGTTTCGTCCTGCTCCTAACGCGCAATACCCAGACTCAATTTCCTTCAAGACTCATGGAAGGATGTCACGCATACGATGTTCTCTATTAGACGTGGGAGATAGATATTTCTCGAGGGAATTGTCCGCTGTGTCTGGTGTCCTTCACCAGATCCTCCCGACGTGATAGCCGAGACGGACAGGGTGGATTGAATCTTGTGAAGTGGACGTGGCGGATGAGATGACCAGGTTTGTCTGAGACTCAGCGTCTAAGACGCAGGACAACAAGGGAAGTGTAAATACAGAACTGACCACTACGTATTGAGCTGATGGACCTTGCAAGCATAGGTTATATACAGGATTACTAGGTGAGGAGTGACACCCACCCACCACAAGCAACTAAGTTAGTTCAACCACAAAAATGACGTGTTTAAGTAAACGGTTTAGCCAACTAGTCCTAGTTAACTAGTCTAACTTAAATACTAACGTAGCTTCAGTTAACTTGCAGATTGGTTAAAACTAATAATAGAGGTTGGAAGGTCGATGGTTCTTTCCCCAAGATTCGTTTCAGTGGGTTTGTTGTGGTAGATTAGCGCTAGTCCCAAAGCGGCGTAGTGTTTCGCGTAAACGTCGCGGTGGTCTTACTTTCCCCCTTTC